CCAACATGGCACCTTTGTTTTATCAAGTGAACAAGCTGAGAAGGCAAGAAAGAGTGCCAAAAAGAAGTCACAGTCTTTCATAATTGTTTTAGTTTCCTAAGCCTGCTGTGAGAAAGTACCACAAACTGGGTGGCTTAAACAACAGAAATGTATTCTCTCACAGTTCTGGAGGCTAGAAGCTCAAAATCAAGGTGTTACCAAGGCCATATTCTCTCTGAAGGCTCTAGGGGAGAATCTGTTCCATGTCTTTCTCTTAGCTTCCAGTGTTGCCATCAATCCTCTCCATTCTTTGGCTTGTAGACCATTGCCCCAATCCTAAGGATCAATTTTATATGTTTACTTTGTCACATAACAAGCTATGATTTATGATTCATAAATTTTATAGTTAATTTAAGACCTTCCTAGGCATAATGATAATTTTTAAAAGGCAAAACTTCTCACTAATGAAAGGGACCATTAACAAAATATATTAAGGGTCAAAATTTACTCATTGTAACTAAGATGTATGAAAAAATTTTTTCATTTTCTATAATATGTCTTATTTCTTTGCAATCCCCATTCCAGTGCAGTATTGGGGAGAAAACTCTCAAACCTGTTCACTGAAGGACTTTGGGCTCTTCCTTTTTAAAATAGACTCTCTGGGGTAAACCTAGTCACTTTTGGAAAAACATTTCTTCCCTTCTCTTGTGTGCCATCTGGGTACAGTAACATCATGTCAAAAACTATTCGCACTTTTTGAAATCTACCCCATAGAAAAATTAAAAATATGTAGCAAATTTATATGTGTGTGTCTAAGTGGCTATATATATAAAGAGTGATGACACATATATATGGTTTATAACAGATATATAATTTATAATAGATAAGAATTAAAAACAACCAAAACATTCATCAACAGATAAATGGCTAAGTAAACTATATGCATATTTATACAATGGAATACCATGCATCAGTTAAAAAGAACTAGGTAAATCATATAAACAGACATGGAAAGATGTCAAAGACCATAAATAACTGATAAAAGCAAGTTGCAGAATAATGTTTACAGCATAGTGGCATTAGCATGCTATGTGCAAAAAATAAATGTGTACATGCAAGTGTATAGGAGAAAGTCTGAAAAAGGTACAAATCAACGGTGATTACTCTTAGGAGGGATGTTGAATTGAGAGGATGAAGGTGTGAAGAGAAACTTTTACTTTTTACTCTGTTGTTTGGAATTTTACAGTGTATATGCATTTGTATCATGTGTGTGTAATTCAAATCATTTTAATTTCTAAAATCACTGTTCTCTATGGAAAAAAATATAATAATAGTAGTTAATTTGTTACTAATAGGAAAAGCTGCCTGCATAGACAAGTTATGTATCACACCTCAAGAACTGATTTCTCGCCTGGGCGAATTTGGACAGTTCTGCCCTATCAGCCTGGCAGAATCACATGAACTAGTTGATTGCTCTATAACTGACTCATTGGAATTTGCAGCAGAATTCAGAGGGCACTATTATAAAATGAGTTCTCAGGAAAATCTGAATGTAAGTTTGTTCCTAAATCCACGTATTTACTAGGGAAAGAAAATGCCTGTCTCAGAATTCATCAAATGGGAAGGCGTGGGTACAGCTGGGAACACCCAGGAACCTGGGGACCAGGAGCCCCATTATTGGAACCTATGACATTAGGACCAATGAGGCAACTTGGAGGCCAGTCTTGAGACTGCACCCCAAGATATATTTTGGCATACAGTGGAGGTTCAGGGTCAGTGATGGGCCCTCAGCTTAACAGGTAGGGAAACCCAGTGGCGATTCCTACCAATGGAGAGGATGCTGAGCATCAAGACTCAGCCCACAGCTGGGCATCCAGGGGGTTAAGCTCCCACAGTGCAGAAGGGAAGTCACAGTCGTAGATGTGAAGAAAGATCGGGCGCCTGGGTGGCTCAGTTGGTTGAGTGACTGCCTTCAGCTCAGGTCATGATCCTGGAGTCCCGGGATTGAGTCCCACATCGGGCTCCCTGCTCAGCAGGGAGTCTGCTTCTCCCTCTGACCCTCCCCGCTCTCATGTGCTCTCTCTCTCTTTCTCTCATTCTCTCTCTCAAATAAATAAATAAAATCTTAAAAAAAAAAAAACCTTTAATAAAAAAAAGAAATGAAGAAAGATCTCACCTATGTCTCTCCTGTGCTTTAAAATGTTTTCATCAGTAGGGTTCCCTGTATATCTGTATACTGTATTTCTGTTTAATGCAGCAGAATGCAAATCTGTTCTAATATTATATCTATAATTTGTGAAGATAAAGGTTCATAGTTGAAAACTAATCAGATGCCTCTGAACATTTTACTTTCCTCTAAAGAGGTAGAATTTTCTTATCACTTTATTAAGGTGACATTTATTTCTTCCTGCATATATAAATGGCAGTCACAGAATTTGAAAACTGGAAGTAACACTAGAGATCATGCATCTGGTCTGCCCCCTCCATTTTACAGAGTGTTAACTAAAGCTAGAGAGTTAACTCCCCTGCCAAATAGCACCCAACTAGTTCATTATACTGCAGTGCCGGCAGTCAGGTCAGCAAGTGATGTGCACTCCCCTGTGTCTGGCATATAGCACGAGCTCAATAAATATGTTCTGTGTGAATTAGTGAGGGAGTGAGTGAACAGTGGGAGAGATCAGGAGAGAGACCTTGGATGTCATCACTTGGGGAAAGAGTTACTGCAGAGCAGAGAGTAGCTCTCAGCTGGGTTGCTGCTGAAAATGGAGAAAGCAGGAGAGCCCCCGTGGGTTTTTGACTGGCAGAGCACTCCTGTTTTAAATGGTCTTATGCTGTAATCATTTCCTGTAGAAATTTTTGGAGAACCCAGAATTGTATGTGCCTCCGTCAGCACCTCATCCACTACCACCTGCCGACATGATCCCCAAAAGGCTGACATTGTCAGAGCTGAAGAGCCGATTCCCCAAGTGCGCGGAGCTGCAGGGCTACTGTCCAGTGACCTATCAGGATGGAAACCACAGGCAGGTCCTCACCCTCGGGGGAGGTTAGGGTGATATCTCTACTCAGAATCGGCAGTTCCTATAACAATCTTAACATTTGGGTTAAAAGATCACTATTATTTAACTGGAAAATGTTTTATCTCTTCCTTGAGTTGCATAGGTAGAAAAGGAAACATTTTTGACATTTTATTTATATAGTACTGCATATTAATTATACAATCTTTTTTTTCTTGTCTTTCAGATATGAGGCCCTTGTACCTGGTAACATTAAATTTGCTTTAGAATATCGTGATCGTATATATATTTGTGAGACTAGAGAAAAACTCGAGAAATTTTTGAGGTGAGACCATTCACTAAGTTACCAATATTGAATATCTTCTATGTTCATTGCACCATGCTGGTGTGTGTGTGTACATGCATAAATATATTTGTGTGTATAGACATACTTATGCATACATACATGCATATACACATATATACATATATGTATGATGATGACTAAGAACTTGTTCATGCTGTCCCAAAGCCTGAGGCTCTGAGGTACGTTAGACTTTACATACCTGTTAACAACAGAATGTGACGGCACTTAGGGTGGGGAAAAGCCAGGAGTTCTGGTAATGTGTAGCCCCAAAGTCTGGCTGAGTTGTCTGTTGGGGTAAGGCCTGAATGAGGAGTGGGAGTTGGGTAGATGAAGGGAAAGAGGGACAGGTTCCAAGCAGAGAGACCTACAAACAAACCTGGCCCAGGGGAATCACAGAACTGCAAGAAAGTCAGCATGGCTGGACATGATGAAGAGAAAAGGAAAGGATTGAGAGGTGAGGCTGGAGATGGTGAGCAGGGCCAGAGGGTGAAGTTCAGATAAAATCACCCTAAATTATTTGAACTTGACCCAAAAGGCAGTATGAATATATTAACTGGTTTTGCGTATTATATTCAAATTCGCTTCGGAGAGAGACCATCCCTGGAGTGTTGATAATGGATTGGAGGCAGGAATACCAGTGCTAAGGCTGTTAGAATGATCTTGTCTAAAATAATACAGCATGTTTGAGGTCACCCATGAAGACTGGTGTGAGAAAAGCAGTGGGCTTAGGACCACACCCTGAGAAACACCAACACACAAATGTGGGGAAAAGAGCTTGCAAGGAGAATGATAAATGATAAAGAAGAACCTACAGAGAAGTGAAGGAGAGCCAGGTCGAGGAGGCTCTGGGGAGGAGGGAAGAGAGAAAGTGTCCGGGAGCTAGGTGGGGGTGGGGGGTTGGCCAATAAGTTTAAATGCAGTTTAGAGGTCAAGCAAGAGAAGAGCTAAAAAGTGTGTCAGATTTCGGTTATAACGGGTCATCAGTGATCCTGGCAAGAATGGTTTCAGTAGAGTGGGGGGCGTGGAAGGTAACTACAGCGTGCCACACTCTGGATGCGAGGTGAGGAAATGAAGACACCAGAGGTGACACACACAGAGGTTACCTACAGCAGCTGAGGGGGAGAAGCACCTGCGGGAAGCAGGCTGGGTGTGAGAGCGCAGGGCACGGTGGAGTCTGCTGCGGACCCGGCCAGCAGGCAGGCCCCAGGTAAGGAGAGCCGCGGCTACTTATCTACTGCCAGACGTTTCTGTTTCACAACAAGTTGGAAACCAGATTTCTTTTTCTTTTTAAACCAAATTGTTCTGTTTTTGTTTTTGTTTTTTTAATGTTCATGACTGATTTAAATTTCTAAAAATACTGTGTGGATCAGATCGGATGGAATTTGTGCGGTAGTTTGTGACCTCTACTAAAGCTCACGGTTTGAAGAAGTTTAAAAAGAAAAGACACCAGTTGCTATAAATGATTTAGGATGGAAGGAGTGAAGGTTATTTTTCTTTTTCCTTTTTTTTTTTCAATGAGGAAGATCGCAGCACATTTAAATGCAGATGAATGGGGATGATCCAATAAAGAAGGAAATGCCAAAGTGGAGAGAGAGAAATCACTCTAGAGAGGCTGGTGGGCCGGGGTATCTAAAGGCTGAGGAGTGGGCGGAGAGGGCTGAGGCCGCTCTGACGGGAGGTAAGCTCCCCACGGAAAGAGGAAGTGTGTGCAGCCCTGCTTGCCGTGAGCGGTTGAGGAAGTGCCCTTGGAACGGCTTCTGTCTATATAACACAGCATCCGTGTCGAGGGTTCCTTGGGAGTCAGGAGGATGAGAACAAAGTTTGCTATCGTTGCTGTGGAAAACAAGAAAAGTGAGCAAAGTGAGCAGCACTGGGGGCCAGGCAAAGTTGCAGGTCACAGATCTCCAGCAGCCCCCATCTTCTCACTTATTACGTTCTCTCCAGTGGAGAAAATCAGCCTGGTGAACTTTATCTCTTAGTTGTCTCTTACGCATCCACGTTCCTGTGTATTCACAGTGAGTGTATTTGTGAGCATCCATCTGATGATCTTTATGTTCTCAGGTTGCCAGAGAAATACTGGAGCCAGAAGCTTCCGTACAAACTGCCCCCGTTGAAGGAGCCCATCCATCTCACGAGTCTTCCTTTGCCTGGATATCTGGAACAGGTTCAGTTACATGACTGTCTGTGTACATACATTAGTAGAGTACAACGATCTCTTTTTTAACAATAATTTTTATTTTGGTAACACTGAAATTCAAGGCAGAGTTTTCTGATTTTAAGCTGCAAATCCACTCTGAACCTATTTTGGTTTTGGATGGCTGGGAAAATAAGAAGTGAGAAGAACCCCTGCTTCTCTAGCTAATTCCCAAATATCTGCAATAAAGTGAAGAGAGAGCAGATTGTCGTGAAATTGTTTACATTTGACTTGTGGTTAGATTTCTTATTTTGAATGTCAGGGTCTGTAAAACTTTTTAAATTTGAAAGGTGCAGATTCGGTCTCCGAGAGGTTTATTCACTGCTCAAAAGTGTCCAGTTGCAATACCACCACAACTGAACTGGCGAAGTCATATTTTCCCCAAATCTAGGGGCAAATGCCCCCAAATGCTACTCAAGTTACATCTTATCATCTAAATATAACTCTTTTTAAACAAAATAAAACTTACCAGTAATCAACCACTATTTTAAAAGCTCTTTTAAATTTTTCTATAAAATTTATGCCTAGGGCACAATTTCATACCTTTCTCAGAAATTCTTAACCACTTCATTTTTTTCAACTTGCCTAGATGGTGAGCCTTCAGTCTGGTTTAATATCAAAAGGTAAGATGAGGCTCACCCAGAGAGGAGTAGTCTCATAAAGGCCACGTTTCATCAGGAGGGCCTCACCTCTTCTTTGCCCACACAGGGTTCCAGAATCTTTGCTGCGGTGACTGACAACTGTGGTCTCTGGAATTCCTTGCCAGGTGGTCAAGGGTCCCGACAGCAGAGGCAGTCTGGCCAGTTCTGGCAATGGAAGTAGAAAATGGGCCAAGACAACTCAAAGCCCAGGGACCCCTTCTTTTGTCTTTAATATTTTATGGAAAATGTCAAACATAAAAATAGAAAGGATTGTGTAATGAGGCCCATGTATCTATCAGCCACCTGACGTTCAGCCAATTTGTAATTTTCAATCTTCCTAATCAAAAGTACTTTGTGTTCCTTTCCATGTTCATTAAGTGGTCATTTAACCACCTATAGGCCCCATCCCCAACACCAAAGAATAGCCTCTTTATCTATTTGCCACTGAGAAAAGAAGCCAAATTCAAATATACATGTGCTCTACATTGTCCCCACTGCAGGGTATCGCAACTTCACTAATTAAAGCAATGAATGCAGCAGGATGCATAAAGCCCAAATTCCCGTTTTTAAGTATAAAGAGATCTGCACTACTGTATATAGCATTTCACCTAAAAGGTATGTCTTCTTGAATGATATGCTACTCAGAACTAATTTAACATCATTTGTAGTATATGTGATGAATGTATAGGATTGTTGAGCTGAGTCGGCTGCTTGCATTGGTAGCATTGCAAATATTTTAATGAAATATCATTGTTGATAGCAAATATTTTAATGAAAATAACAAATTTGAGTTTCTAGTAAAGCAAGGACTACGAATTACGATCGGCTCTCAATAATCCATGCCATAGAGAAAGATGAATAGAGGCAGTTATGATCTAAAATGGAATAATCCCCAAATCTTACTTGGGATTTGGATATCTTCTCAGTTATAGCTATGCAACTCTTTCACACACATAGTTCTCTTTCTTTTTAATTTAATGATTCACTAACCTAACAGAAAACATTCAGTTCTGTGACATTTTCTACAGCCTTCAATCCCAAAAGTTCTGAATATACCAGAAGGAAGTATAAGAAGAAGTTGGAGCAATTTATGGAGAGTTGTGAACTCATCACATACCTGGGTGCCAAGATGACCAGAAAATACAAGGAACCTCAGTTTAGAGCCATTGACTTTGATCATAAATTACAGACCTTTCTCTCTCTTAGAAATATAGACCCAGTTAATGGCTAGTTTGCTTGGGCAACTGCAACCAGGACGTCAAGAGTTATCTGAAAGGGATAGAAGGAAATAGGTTGAAAATCTGGCCCTGTCTGCTGTACTTTTTCCCTTCTGAGTGATACACCGTGGCTGCCAGCCGTCAAATGGATTCAAAGCTCTACCGGCCCAGAAAGGGTGCTCTTCTGGAAGCCTACGGCTTGACATAATTTAAAAATGTATTGCTCTTTGCATTCATGATTTGCATTCATACATTCATGCTTTAACGACATAGTTATTCCATTTAGAATATTTAGGTAACTTATTTTACTTAATCTATTGTTCAATTTCCTTTTTAACATTTTTAGCCTCTGTTAAAGAAAATTACTCAGTAAATGTTAGAAAGCTTCAAGAAACAAAATTAACATTGATATAAATAAAATAGAAACATTGGTTACACTTTCAACATAAGGAGTTGTTTGTAAACTTCATGAACCTGAGACACTTTATCATTTTCCCAACAAAATAAATGCATTGAGATAACTAAATGGCTGCCTCTTTTCTTTTTCTTAAATATTCAAGAAGCAAGCTTTATACATTATTTTGTAATTAGAAATCACCTGGAGTTTTGAGAAGGATGAAATCTGGAGTCTTGTCATATGACATTATCCAGAAGTATATATGTTAGAGGAAAACTCACTAAATTGTATTTGAATGAGATTTTTAAAATATTATCAATTTTTCAACAGCAGTATAAGAAATGTAGAATATGAAATAGCAAGATTGGCTCTTCAAAAAATAAAAAATACAACTACTATATGTGTGATCTTGGGTAAATCTCAGTTTCTCTGAACGTTTGTTGTTTAATCTCCAAAATGAGTGATTTAGGGTTTTTTTCCAGCTTAATGAGGTATAAATGACAAAATTACATATATTTAAAGTGTACAACATGGTGATTTTGATACAGGTATGCATTGTGAAATATGTCCCACAATCAAGTTAATTAACCCATCCATTGCCTCACATAGTTACTTTGTGTGTGTCTCTATGTGTGTGTAGTGAGAACCCTTAAGAGCCACTCTTTTAGCAAAATTTAAGTATACAATACAGTATTATCAACTATAGCCACCATATTGTACATTAGGTCCTCAGAATTTATTCATATTATAATTGAAAGTTTGTACCTTTTGGCCAATATCTCCCATTTCTCCTACTGCCCAGCCCTTGGCAACCGCCATTCTAGTTACTCTCTGCTTCTAATGAGCTTGACCTTTTTGGTTTTTTAGATTCCACACATATATGATGCCATGCAGTATTTGTCTTTCTCTGTCTGGCTGGCTTATTTCACTTAGCATAATGTCCTTCAGGTTCATCCATGTTGTCTTTGACCCTATAATTTCAACAATGTTAATTAAAAACTAGAAGGCTGTCCTATATATTTTTGTATAATATATTTTCACAACAAAATATATTTAAACAAAAGAAAAAATAAGAATTGAGATTCTAACTAGAGGGTGAAAGACATTCCAGGAGTTAACAAACATGTATATTTACCAAATGTGAGCCAGGCATGGTGAAGACTGCTCAGTTTATACAAGCATGTATATATTTACAAGGACCTCTCTCAGTCTAGGGTAAGAAATAAAAATGTAAACAGATACACAACACCCCTACAAAATGCAGGAGATACAGGACCTAGAAACTGGAGCACTACTGAATTAGTCTTGTAAAATCTCTATAAAGTGGAGGTATTGACCCTATAAAGATGCCCTATTGGCACAGAACAATGTCAATTACTCTTCTGTTCCCCTCAGATACATTTAAGTCATGAGCTTTGGACTATAGTTTCTGCCTGCTACAGTTATCAGTCAACCATCATAGCCTGCAAGGATGTTTTTGATTCCCTTCATAATGTCCAAGGACTTGTACCAACCTCTAGTTGCTAGATGATTATGACCCTCTCTTTCCTTCAAACTCCTGCTGGGTTCTCCATTGACCCAATTCACCCAGAAGCCAGTAGGTACTGGGCTTTGTTGAAGTCTTTGCAGCTTCCAGGGCCAAAAGATGGGGAAGAAGAGTGGAGATTGAATTTGGAGGGGAAAGAGAAAAAAATCTGGATAGCCTCTTCTGTATCAATTCACCTGTAAGTGATCTTATAAGAATTTATAATCTATACTCTGATAATTCCAGTATTAATGTCCCAAATTCTGTTCTCATCTCTGAACTTCAGGCTCTTGTCTACATGTGCTTACTGTATATCTTTACTTGGTTATCTAGTTGACATCTCAAATTTAATATTCCCACCCCATACTTGTTATTCACCCAGTTTCTCTTTCTCCAGTTTTCTCCCAGATTAGTTCATGGTAATGCTGTACACTCAGTTGATTTGGTCCCAAACCTAGGGATGAACCTGGATTGCATTCTTTCCTTCACTCCCCACATCTAGTCTCTCAGCAAGTCCTGTCAAAGATTACCTCCAAAATATACCATGAGTCTGGGCTCTTTTCATGTTTTGTACTCCTCTCACCTACTTTCCATGCTTCTGTTCATGTTCCTCTAGGATCAATTTTCCATCTAGCACCTGGAGCAGTCTTTAAATATATAAATCGGATTTCATCATTCTCTTTTTAAAATCTTCCAATGGCTTCCTACTTCAGTTAAAATAAAATCCAAACACTTTACTCTTGTCAGATGTGTGATTAATTTTATATGTCAACTTGAAGGCTATTTTTGGATGAGATTCAAATGTAAATCAGTGGACTGAGACTAAAACTGACCTCCGTAATGTGGGTGGGCTTTATCTAATTAGTTGAAGGCCTGAATAGAACAAACAGTGCAACCTCCTTGAGTAAAGGCAATTTTCCAGCAGACTGCCTTCAGACTTCATTTGCACTATCAACTCTTCTGGGTCTGAAGCCTGTCAGCTGACACTGCAGATTTTAGATTTCCCAACCTCCATAATCATCGAACCAATTCCTTGGAATAAATGTAAATCTTTCTCTCTCTATATATATATATCCCTTGGTTCTGTTTATCTTGAGAACTCTGGCTAATATAGCATAAAACACCTTGCATGATCTAGTCCTGCCTCACTTTTCAACATCTTCTCCATTCTCTTTTATCTGTTCCATCCTTCTTTTGGATTGACTAGGACTTTTTAATTTCATTTTTCCTCTGAAGTTTTCAAAGTTATGCACTCTATTTCTATCCATTGAGTAGGCTATCGCTACTCTTAACATGAATGCTTAGTCTGAAGATAATCAATACCTCTATCCTTAAAACACTTAATAGTATTCACCAGCTTGCCATCTTAAATGCTATTTTATTCAATATTTCAGACCTAGTTTATTTATTATCCAAATTAGACATTTTTTTTCATAATCAGTGTTTATTTAGATTTCCCCCATGTTTGCTGTTTTTCTCTCTGTCACCAGTCCTTCTTACATCTCAGACTTTCCTTGTAGGGTTATTTTCCTTCCTATAGTAGGGTTTTTGGGGGGTTAATGCTTTCAATTTTTGTTTGTCCAAAACTGTTTTGATTTTTTCCTTGTTCATTATGATAATTTTATGATATAAAAAATTAGAAATAGACAATCTCAATAAGCCTATATCTATTTTAAAAATTGAATCAATAAATAATAACCTTCCAAAATGGGAAGTGCCAGGCCCAGATGGTTCACTGGTAAATTCTATCAAACATTTAAGGAAGAAATTATACCATTTCTCTACAAAATCTCTATTTCTCTATCAATCTCTTTCAGAAGATAGAAGCTGAGGGAATACTTTCTAATTCATTCTGTGGGGATATCACTACCCTAATACCCTAATACCAAAACTAGACCAAGACATTACAAGAAAAGAAAACTATAGACCAATATCTCTCATGAACATGGATGTAAAAACACTAAGCAAAATATTAGCAAATTGAATCCAATAAGTATAGAAAGACTTATACACCACAACCAAGTGAAATTTATCCCAGGTATGCAAGGCTGGTTCAACATTCAAAAATCAGTTAATGTAATCCACCACATTAACAGGTTAAAGAAAAATTACATGGTCATATCAATAGATGCAGAAAAAGCATTTGACAAAACCCAACACTCATTCATTACAGAAACTCTCACTGAACTAGGAATAGATGAGAGCTTCAACTTGATAGATCATTTACAAAAACTTGAAGCTTATACCATACTTAATGGTGAGAAACTAGAAGCTTCCCCACTAGGATCAAAAATAAAGATGTTCCCTCTCACTACTCTTTTTCAACATCATACTGGAAGTCCTAACTAATGCAGTAATACAAGAAAAGGACGTAAAAGTTATACTAATTGAGAAGGAAGAAATAAAAATGCCTTTGTTCACAGACAACACGATAATCTATGTAGAAAATACAAAGAATCAACCAAAAAACCTGGAATTAAGAAGTGATTACAGCAAGGTTACAGTAAACAATGTTAATATATAAAAGTCAATCACTTTCATATATGCCAGCAATGAACAAACGGAATTTGAAATTGAAAACACAATACCATTTATATTAGCACCCAAATAAAATACTTAGGTATAAATCTAACAAAATACATATAGTATGTATATGAGGAAAACTTCAAAATTGTTGAATGAAATCAAAGAACTAACTAAAAGGAGAGATATTCCATGTCCACAGATAGGAAGACCATATTGTCAAGATCTCAGTCCTCCCAACTTGATCTGCATATTCAACGCAATCCCAATCAAAATCCCGGTAAGTTATGTTGTGAATACCAACAAACTAATTCTGAAGTTTGTATAGAGAGGCAAAAGACCCAGAATAGCCAGCATAATATTGAAGGAAAAGAACAAAGTCAGAGGACTTACACCACCCAACTTCAACATTTATTATAAGGCTACAATAATCAAGACAGTGTCATTTTGGCAAAAGAATAGACAGATTAGTGGAACAGAAAAGAGAGCCCACATAATTATATACAGTCAACTGATCTTTGACAAAGGAGCAAAGATGGTCTTTCCAACAATTGGTGCTGGACATCCACGTGGAA